GGAACAGTTTGTCCGGAAGAGTTGTGGATTCTCCATCCCTGGAAGTGTTCAAGGCCAGGTTGGATGGGGCTTGGAGCAACCTGGTCTAGTGGAAAGTTCTCCCCCACCATGGCAGGGGGATTGGAGCTGGGTGATCTTTGAGGTTCATTATGACAGATATGCTCCTGCTTTTTTTTGACCTTTAAGGAGTAGAGAGATGCTGTATCCCTGCTTGTTAAGATGCTTAGCCTGGTTGTTGTCCAGTCCAGCTACACAGCCCTTGACGGATGGCAAGTGTCCTGTTTGTCACTTTATTCAGCAGATCTATTGTCCCCTCTCTTGGCTCCTGCTTGTCATGACTGCTGAAAAAAGCTTGTGGCAGGGTCCTTGCTCTACTCTTGCTGCCTGAGACTGTGAGGAGGTTCCACTTCTCTGTAGCAGCAATATTCCATTGTCTTGGCTAAAAAATAGCTTTGAGTGCAAATAGTGCCATAGGAATCTTACAGCTGAAGGAATGGTTGTTGGCATGAAATCCCTACATAAGCTGCATGAGGGATTATTGAATTGTTTAAAGAAATCTGTGGGAACTTTATCATCCTTGAAGCCAGATTTGATAGAATTGTGGGGATAATGTGATTTATCTCTCCTATGAGGGTAATGTAATAGAGCTTGTGATATTGCAGATATGGGTAAAAATTGTACTCCCAGTGAAATGTTGAGATGGGAGGAAATTCTTCAGTACAAGAAATGTGTACTTGTGAGTCTTAAAGCTGTCTCCCTCACCAATGCCTCTTGTCTTCCCGTGCCTGTCATCTCTCTCTTAGGGCAGACACCTCCATGGGAGATGCAATAAGCTGTATGCTCTCTTCAGTTTTGGGTATTCTGTAGCCAATCAGAATAACATAATGGTACACTTTGCCTCCTTCCTCCTAGAGCATGTGTTTTATCTCTCTTACATTTATGGAGTGCATTGAAAAATGTCTAGGGACCAAGTAAAGAGATTTTTGTTTGTAATAGATTTCAGTTGACCTTGTCTAGCCCTCCCACATCAAATGGTTGCCTGAATGTGATGCTCCATGACCAGTTATAGTTTTGAGGTCTACAGGCAGAGCCTTAGGCAATGTATTCTCTATACAGATGCATTCTTAGCCTGCAGAGACAATTTCTGTATCTTTGTTGTGGTGTCATTATTTTTTGTGTTTTTTCCTCTCAAGTTATTAATCTAATAGTTTAAAAACATTTCTTTCAGTTAAGTTTCAGGGCCCTGTGATTTCTTTTGGAGTTGCTACTGTACTGTATTTCACAGTGCAGGTATTGGATGTCTCCCATCCAAGGATTGTAGCTCTTTCAGAACAGTGGGGATTGAGAAGTAAAGGAAGGGCTTTTCCAGATGCATTTATTAGCAAAACACCCTGGGAACTCTGGAGGTATGGACTGTGCTAGCAGATAGCATGGGTACATTCATCAGGCAACTGTGTTTGTATTGATCCTGCCCAAGTTCCTTCATTGGATGGTGAGAGCTGTACTGCAACCAGGTGATTAAATTGTGCCATGTTTTACTTGGCTGTGCTGGGATTATGTGGCTGAGAAGGCATGAATATGGCACAAGGCATACCTGGGCTGAACAGGAGGGATGGCAGAAGTGAGGATACCATGTAGAAATCAATAATTAAAGGAAGAAAAAGTATTTTCTCTTGACACAGCCCCCATATGCCCATAGTGTGAATGTACATCTGTGTCACATCTTAGAGGGCTCCTTATACCATGTAAATTTTTAATCTCAGTGTTGCATTTCTATTTTCACCCTGTAGAAAAATTTCTGTTAAGTTACATTGGGTTGAATGGGTCCTTGCACAGTGTGTAGTATTTGTGTGTATGTAATTTTAACCAAGAAAACTCCTCTACTGAGCTTTAATTCCCATGCTCACCTGTGTTTTTCAGGCAGTTATTGTCTTCTAGTGCATGTAAATTTCATGTTAAGTTGGTAATCAGAAGAATAAAGGGAATGTTTTGGTAGCTCAGAGGAACATAACTAATGTACTTTTTTTATTGTCTGCGAGTTTCTGGCCACTAATATAAGAGCCCACAGACAGAAATTCATCAGCCTGCCCCACCCCCAGGAGACTGCTTATTAGATTTATGCAACACAAGATATTAAAAACACTTTTGTCTGTCACAGAGCCACGGGCAGGGGAGGGGGAATTTGCCAGTTGCTAATGGATACCTGGCGTTTTTGTGTATGACCATGAAGAACAGCTTGTGCACTTTCACCCCCGATGTTCCCTGAATAACTTGGGTCTCATTTAGGTCAATAAGCCTTTATCAAAACGTCAGGAGTGAAAAATGTGTCTTGGTGTAAGCCGACTGGTCGTTCCCCGCAGTCAGCGGAGTCTATGGGACAATCAGTGTTCCCTGAGCTTGTCTGCATGTCACGCAAAGGGCTGGGTGACAGTAACCATTGAGTGCGTGTCTGTCCCATTGTCTTTGGGACAGCCCCCGTTTGCATACTTGCCGGTGTGCCTGTTAGCCAATGAACCATGCAGGGCTTCAGGAAGCATGGGCACAGCTCCCATGCAAATTCCCTGCGTGGGGAACGCTCGCTCCTTTGCAGCACAATCCGCGCTTTCTCGTCCTGCCTTCCTCCTGTAAAACATAAACTGTGATCCTGACAGTCCGCAGGGCTGTGTGTGGGTCCATTGTGTTAAAACATTACCCTTTTCTCTGGCCTTTTCTCTCCTTGCCAAGGTAACTCTTTGCCCTTCTTTTGCTTTTAGCAATTGCTTTTGGGGATATCTGAATGGTATTATCTGTGCTATCACACATGATGTGAAGCCTTATATATATCCTTATATACCCTTATATATCCCTTCCTATCCCTTCCTCAGATGAGCTATTTTGAAGGAAGGACAGCTTTTGCTTCTCGTGTGGTTGGAATTGTCTTCTGTAAAGGGAATTTCCTCCATGGTAGTAGGGATGAAGGGAAGTGTATGAGTCCTCTGCATAAGGAATAGCAATTGGATATTAGGGTATATTGACTAGGTCTGTGAAAGGAATGCAGCCACCTGATCAGAGATGATGCTCCTTTGATCCTCTAATTTCTGTGACAAATCCACAGGACCTCATGTCAAGCAGAGCTCATAATTCTCCCATTCAATTTTGGTTCATAAGTGACATTAGACTGGACAAAGGGAGAGTTTCATTGTGTTTGAAGCTTGTCATAAGACACAAAGTTTCCTTAAAGCACCTGGTGCAGCTGCTGTTTCTTTCAATTTATGATGTTCATTATGCCTTTAACTTATTGAAAAACATTTAACAATAATTCAATTTTAAAGTAAAAACAAAAATGACGGAGGGTTCTGGTGGATCCTTTCAGAAGGAAGCTGTGGAAGAGATTCTTGGCTGGATTGAAGGGCCTGTTCATTACAACCAATGCTTTTGATAGTTCTATTATATCTTAAAAACCTACCTTGAATACAAGTGGTTATAAGCAATTGTGATGTTCTACTGCATCTGACATCTTGCATAGGTTATGACACATCGAAATTAAGGGAAAGAGCCCTGGCTCATGTTCTACCAGCTTGGCTAGAAATGTCACAAAGTTGAACTTTGACAATTTCTTGCCCTGAGATGAATAGGGTTTTTATGCCATCAAGATGTTTTAGAGCCACAAAAATAAGATAGCAAAGTCAACTGATGCCTAACCCTTTCCCCATTATTTTTACTGTGTATGGCCATATTATTTTGCTCAGTATTCAGGGCAATGTTCCGTGCATTTTTGAAGGTGATAATGTCTCCCATTCATCTTGACTAAACTAGGGCTGTGTTCTGGCTATTTCAGTCAATTAAGAAAATAATCATAGGTACCATCTTGAGTCCTGTTTGCCAATTTGTTATGCAAAACAGCAGTGAACCCTGCAGACATGTGAGAGGGGTGGATAGAATGTTCAACAGCACATTGTGTTCTCTCCAGTTGCTCTTTATGTGAAATCACACTTTGAAATAAGGGGCTCATTCTCTTAATCTGCGCTAACCTGTGTAACTGTGACATGTTGAGACTGGTTTCTCAGCTGCACTCTTATTTTATGCCATGTGTTGTGTGTTTTCAATGACAAGCCACTCTTACCATTTCAATAAGTAGATTTTGTTGTTGGCTCTGATGGAAAATGTGACCATTTATTAATTGAGTTTGCCAATAAGGGAGGATTGCAGCTCCCTGATACCCATGGAAACCATGCTGGATATGCCATGCTTATCTAGTCTGTGGAAAGCCCAAGGTTTATCTGCACATTGATGATGTTCCAAATAGGACCTAACTGTACCTCCATCCAATCAACAAGAATATCAGGTGTCTTTGACATCTGTCACCTTGGAGGCATTTCCAAAGTCATACCTGAGTATAGATTAGTGTTTATAAGTAGCTTGGTACCGGCAGTGCTGCAGGACTAGATCTGTGTTTCTGCTGAAGTCTCCAGATGCTGACACAAGGATGGGAAAGGTGTGTTAGAGAGCTCACTTTGTCTTCAGTGTGCCTGGAGACTGACATATTGGTGATAGATACTAGAAACGTTTTTCAATCCATGCTTAAAGGGAGACTGAAAAAGTATAAATTAGGGGGAAGTTAGGCTGATCTGGTAAATGGTACATGAAGCACACCTCTTCTAGAAATGTAATATACTAGCAAAATGCTCATCTTCTAAATACAGACTCTGCTTGTTTGCTTTGGTTCAGTCAGGAAATCTTTTGTTTGAATTAGACCAAGTGAATTGCACAGAATGGTTTTCAGTTTTAGTATGTGTAGACAAGCCAAGCTGCATGCAATCAAAGTGTTTCATTTTGCTCCTAGTATTTTCCTTCTCTATTCTTACAGGTGTTTCTGTTTTATTTCAGATCATTTTTGCTATAGTTGATATATTTGTCACCTTCCTAATTTTACATTTTTTTATTTCTAATACATTCTGAAAAGAGATTAAAGACATATATGGAGTAGAAAATTAACCTAGTTCCCCGTGTGTTTCTTGTAGGAAATTGTATTAGTGGTGTTCTTTGGAACAGAGTATGTGGTTCGGCTGTGGTCAGCAGGATGCCGCAGTAAATACGTTGGAGTGTGGGGAAGGCTTCGTTTTGCTAGGAAGCCCATTTCAATCATTGGTGAGTATGCAAAGCTTGCAAAGTCAATGTAAACAGTTAGAAAGACTTGCCCTGAAGGCTTTTGAAGTTGTAAAACTTCTGTATCACTTGAAGCCAAGTTAGAGCGGGAGCTCTTGTCATTAGTGTGAATGTAGATCTGAATTTGCTTTCAGGAACTCGTGGCACTGTCATTTGAGAACAAATGTAGCTTGGTTTGTTTTTCCAGAAGAGATCATTTTCAGAAATGATCTTAAGCTTTGCCAGGAATAAGTCTTGGCTGTAGTCCTGTCTCCTGTGACCTGAGGATCCCAGATACTGTACAAGAGCCCCAAATATATTTTTTCCAAGATACTGAACTGCCTTTTTTTCTCCCTTTAGCAGCCATTTGACTAGTTTATTATGAGTTTATTTTGCACTCTTATTGAGCTGTGTGTCACATGTTGGCGTGCAATAGATGCACTGCAGTTGCTTTGTGTATCAGTTGAATTAAAGTTTTCAGTGATGCATTTGGAGCTGGACACCTCAATTCCATTGGGATTCAATTGGCTTCCTAAAATGACTTAAGACTTCCTGGAAATTACATCCAAATATTCCATACATGTCACTAATAATTGTTTTTTTTAGAATGCTTGTCATTAATTTTAACAGTTTCACCAAAAGAAACAATTCAAAATCAATCTGTATTTTCTTGGCCAGCATTGATAAAACAGTGTAAAGACCTTTTCCCTGTACTTAAGTACTTGAAATATATATGGACTAAATAAATCAATCAGGCATTGGAAGAGGAGTATTATTGTGGAAGAATAGTAATTCTTGTTCTGTGACATTTTCCACTACTCAGAAACATTATATATTGTTGAGTACAGGACACAGGTTTCCATAAACTGTCTACAGTTTTGCCGAATGTAAATTACGAAATTTACATACCTGGGTATTTTTACAATTACAAAATTGATTTCGCTCCTCTGTGCATCCATCCATCCATATATGTGTGTGTGTGTATATATATATATATGTGTAAATAGTAACTGCATCTCAGGTGTGACTGCAGCTATAAAAAGACTTTGCATCTTTTCCCTCTGGCCACAATCCCTTTCTCTCAAGTGCTAGAACACTAAGCATTCTGAAACATCATCCAAATTGGATCAGTTTGGAAAGCAAAATGTAGTTCTACTGTCCCAGATATGGATCAAGAACTATTTAATTCCCCAAAATACAGAGTTCCTTTCCAAAATTTACTAGGCCTGAGGCACGTAGATTTAGAGTACAGTACTGACTGACTTAAACTAAATTAGACTCATACCCTAATTTCAATTTTCTTTCCCTTTTAGACCTGGACAGATGAAATGATAGTAAGGCAATTTTCTTATTTATGAAATTAACCTTAAAATCTCTGTCAATTAAAATCCTGTCTAAGCAGAGAAGAGAAAATAAGAATCGGAGAAGAGAGAATAGATGGAAATTGCTGAAATTCCTCACGGCTTAAAGCTAATAAGGATTCCAGGCTGCTTGACAGTAACTCCTCATTCCTCTAGACCGTGGCCAGCTTTGACCCATCTTAGTACAACCTTTCCATGATATTACATGATGGAATTTTTTTATATGCCACAATTGAGATCTCTTGATATATAAACAAAAATATTAAGTAGGAGTGACTGTTCAACTTGTTAAAGTGATATGGTCTTTGGTTCTAGTAGTCTTGTAGAAGTATTGCAAGATGCTGGTAATTAATTTTCTTCTATTGACTTTTGTTTTCCAGATTTAATTGTAGTTGTTGCTTCCATGATAGTTCTTTGTGTGGGGTCTAAAGGTCAAGTCTTTGCAACCTCTGCTATCAGGTAATTATATGCAATATAAGAAAGTGGCGCTGCCTGACCAAGGTGGCGTTTCTTCTTTTGTTTTAACTTACCTCCTGTTTCAATTCTTGCAGGAGAAAATAAGTCACTGCCCAGTGTGATGTAATAGAGCAGATCACTGATTGTGTATTGCTGATCCCAGAAAGTGTAGGGGACATAAATTTTTGTTGTATTGCTTTTATGGCTGGTGGGGATAAAGAAGCTCATTCTCCTTCCCCCTTTCCCCAGCTAGGTGGGTTCTACCCAAATCCTGGTTTAGCTTCTTAGCTCTGTTTTATAGCAACTCATTGATACGTCATATCTCTGACATCTTCAAGATGCTTCTTTATAAAACGTCTGTGGTTGTGAATTCCTGATGGACTGAATCCACTTTGTGCTCAGGAAGGTCACACCCCTTGGTTTTCTTGGATAAATGGGTGGCTGTGTGCCTTGCTATTCACACTAGCTGCAGCCATGCTCCAGGATTGCAGTGACTCCCATAAAAAGAATATTTTAAAATATTACTGGACTGTGTGGTTCAAATTGCCTATGAAATTCCTCAAAGATAAGGAAATCAGATCTTCAGTTAGCTGGTTCCATATCTTGTTTTTTCATCGTGGTGAACATGTCAAATATGAGTTGATGAATGATTTCCAGAGCGTTTACAGTTTGTGTCCAAAATTCCTGAATCCTTGAGTTATCCTTACTAGCCATGTGTACAAAGGTCAGTTCTTCCCTTGGACAATATCCCCAGATGGTCTTCATAACAAGAAGAAAGATGAGTGCGTGGGTTGAAAAGACACAGGTTACTAAATCTAACATAAAATACTCTGTGTCTCTTAAAACGATGCTTTGGAAGCCAGAGTTCCTTTTTCCACCTCTGTTTCTTCTCTTGTGTGTTTGGCCTGTCAATTAATTTGAAAATGGTGTTGCAGGGGCATCCGTTTCCTGCAGATCTTACGGATGCTGCACGTTGACCGTCAGGGCGGTACCTGGAGGCTGCTGGGGTCAGTGGTGTTCATACACAGACAGGTGAGTTTGGGCACTCTGATGAGGAATGGCACAGCTGATGCCAAAGCTTTGCTATTCAGAACAGCCTACATTCAGCCCTGCTGCTGATATCACTTATATTTCGTGTGGAGGCAGGTAGTAATTTATTTTAACCAAGTGTGGTTGTTCTGCCTTATGTTCACTGCCACTTTGGCAAATTTTGACTTGTAGTTGGACTCAACCACTGAAAATGAGACTTCCGAAAGCTAGTTCTAATATTTCCTAAAATATGTATTTAAATTCCAGAGTTATTTTGAATCTGGCACTGTTTGGAAAAGTTACCCAACTACTTTTTGGTGGCCAGAAGGTTAACAAGTCCTGTGTGATGAGGTCATTTTGACTCTGTTGTCTATGGATCTCAGTGGATTTTTTGTTAATTTGCGTAGCTAATACTCAGTGTCAATATTTTTTAATTGCTGAAATTGCATTTTTCTCTTCCAGTTGTCTTTTATAACCCATCAGTGTTATGAAATTTAGGTGTCTCAATGAGATCATAATGCCATTATTTTGATTCTCTTTGCAGGAACTGATAACTACACTCTACATTGGATTTCTAGGCCTGATTTTTTCCTCTTATTTTGTGTACCTGGCCGAGAAAGATGCTGTAAATGATTCTGGAGAAACAGAGTTTGGCAGCTATGCAGACGCCCTGTGGTGGGGAGTAGTAAGTATAGCAGTTTCATGTGTTAACACTGTCCAATGTGGAGTAAAATTCAAGCAATCATGGAGTAAGAACAGCACTTTGAAACAGCTTCTTACTGCTTTGATACACTTTCATGGAATTTGTAATTCCGTGACACTACAAAAGTACTATAGAAGATCAGTAATATTACATGGTGTTTGCAGTCTCATGTGATCTAAAGTGATCACATTACTTTAAAAAAGTGTAGAAACACATGTTCTATTTCTTTATCCTGTCTTTGCTGCTGGTACAGTGATTATTTCTTGCTGCCTTTGTCATGGTAGTGTTACTGTCTAAGATGGTAAGAGTCTTGCTAACTCAGGGCTAGTTTTTTTGAGAAGGCTGTGGTGTTTAGGTTTTCTTTGCCCATCTTTTTGTTGGGTTGGGGTTTTTTCTTAAAACAGTTATCTGTGTTTTGCAGTTTGACCTGTGACTGTAATTCCCAGTTTATTCAGAAAGGACTAATTCTGGAGCAAGAAGTATCTGGAGCAAGATAGATAGGAAATCCAGGGACAGGATTCTTCTAAGGTGCTTACATTGCTTTGGGAGCCCCTTAGCGTCTTTACACAGCATTTCTCTGTGCTATATTGTAACCATCTCATTCAGAGATTTCTCAGCTTTTTCTAAGTTGCTGCCACAACTTCAGTGTAGATGTATCTTTAGTTCTGGTAGTGAAGTTCTCCTTTATTGGTATTACTAGTGACAATGTCTCTTTGTTTATTATATTAATTTACTGGTGTGGCAGCTCTATTCTGGGATTATATTTTCATAAACATTTTAATTTTGTTCCTTCGTCTAGTTACTATTCCCTCTTTCGTTCTCACAGCATATACAAACACTAGGTTAGCAATTTTGTTCTGGGATTTCCCATCTGTAATTGTTCTCATTTCTGTGATTGTTCTTATTTCTGTTTCCTATTGCGGTTCAAAGAAAGGTAGTTTTTGGAAGCTGTTTTTCCTTGTCATTAGCATTCAAGCAATGGCGTTTTTTAATCTGCTTTTATTCTATTAGATTAATCAAACAAACAGTCATCAGTAAGTGCTACAGATCTTTAAAATGCATAGACATCACTGATAACATACTTGCACTTTCAAAATGTGCTGATCTTCTAGAGCTTTTTCTTTGTTGCTTAAAATCAAAAGGCATTGCTTCTCTTTTTTTTTGTTAAAAATAATACTAACTAATAAGTCTTCTGTATAGGAGTGAAAGCACTAACACTTCCATTTCAACAATAAAATACATATGCATATTTAAGAACATATATAAAGAAATATTTTTAGTAAGTCTCTGCATGTGTGTGCTTATATAGTCTTCTCTTTTCAAACCATCACTTGCTGTTTGAGGAAGGAAAGAGCCATTGATGAGCAAATCCACTGCAGGTCTGCTGGTGCTGAAATGCATATGTAGCCCTTTTTGAATACAACAGGTTTTGTTTTGTTGTGTTGTTTTGCTGCTGTGATCTGCTGTAGAATTCTTTCTTCTTGCTGTCTGCCATGGTTAAATACAGGCTTTCTTAGGACCAGAAGACTTACTGTGTAGCACAAGAAAGTGGCTTTCTGTCAAGTAGCTTTTTTCAGTGCTTTCATGTCATTGTGGCATTTTTATTTTCCACTACATTGGTCAGATGACTCAGTAATTAACAGTGGCAGATGTAGCTGCATTTAAAAGCACATGCTGTCATTGGCGTTGCCATTAAAAACTGAGTGTGTGACAGACCAGATTGGCTTTCTGAAAATACAGTAAACCCCATAGAAGCAACACGATCTGTCAGGATATTGAAATATTCTCCTTTCAGGGAATTATTGTTCAGTTAACGGGCATGCCAGTTATTTTGTCTTCCTAATTACAATAAACTTATTTAATCAATACATTTAATTATGGTAATATTTTTCTCTGTTATGGATTCTATTGCATTGCAGCTTGCCACATGAAGTGTGAGACTGCATTCAATGAACACATTATGTAATTTCTTTAATATTAAGTACAATTAGATGTCCTTGTTCTGCTCTAACACACTTCTACTAACTGCTGAGAAGATTTAGCAGAACAAAACTGAGATGTATTCAGGTCCATCCATTTCTGATGTCTTGATAGTGTAATATTCTTCATTCTTTCTGCTAGGGAAAAAACCCACAATATTTAGGAAAATAGGAAATATCCATTTTCCAAGAGGAAAATAGGACAGAGAAGTTAGCCCACAGAAGCTGTGGATGTCCCATCCCTCTAAGTATTCAAGGCCGGGTTGGATGGGGCTCTGAGCAACCTGGTCTAGTGGGAGGTGTCCCTGCCCATCTCAGGGGGTTGGAACTTGGTGGTCTTTAAAGTTTCTTCCAACCCAAACCGTTCTATGATTCTACAAATAGCTGGGAAGTCACAAGGATTCTTCCTAATAGAGGTCTCAAACTCATACACAAACCTTCTGAAGTGTCAGATCTTGAAAGCTTTGGTTATGTTTAGCCAGAATTTTCCAAATTGCTTAAACACCACAAATTCTGGACAATGAAAATCTGTTTTCAGCTACCCCTGCAGAAGAGGATGATTCACAGTTCCTGTCTCAGACACCATCATAAATGAGTGATCTCTCTTCTCTGGAAGTGCCCTTGGCTGACATAGTAGAGAATGCTTCAAAAAGTCCTTGACAGTCTTTTCATATCCCTTGTCTCACTGTCCAGCACTGTGCTTTTTTGTTATCTCAGTCTGTGTGTGCACTGCTAAGCAAGTTCTTTGGGCAGCAGTAACAGAATATGCAATATAGCTGAGGTAAACCATATAAAAGGTCTGTGTTACCAACACTTACACTGCATCTGCAGTTGGGTACTTTCATATTGCTGTGCTTGGCTGACTGTAGGCACACCCTTAGGGTGCATAACTTGTAATTAAATGTTCCTCATTGTCATTGTTGTTATTTATAAATCTATATTGCTTTTCCATTTTCATATGTAAATTGGCCTCCTGGGCTTTATTTGAATTTCCTTGAGAACTCTGGACTGTAGCTATTTGCCCTGTCAGTTATGGGCTTGAAGAAACCTAAGGTTACCTTATGGCATAAAGAGTTGTCTGTATTATTGCTCCTTTAGAATGCAGTGCAAGCTGTATAAATTCTGCCCCTGGCAGGGTATCTGTACATCCTTCAAAAACAGGTTTAGTTTTAGCAAGTAAAATAAATGTAATGTGGTGCATCTTTCAGTTCTCCAGTGCCAATATTCAAAATAACTCTGCATATACTGTCTGTCATGTCCAGACTGACAATTTTAAAGACCTTATATTAAATTTAAGGCCAATAAAACCAGGAAAACATTAAAAATAAAATTTAAAAAGCAGGTACTCAAAAAAATAGGATAAATGTTCTCATCGAGTCTGTCAGAGATGACCACCTTCAGAAAGAATTACCTGCTCACTGTCTCTGGGGGTTTTGTGGGTCTTAGCGTTTGCTTGTGGCTTGTTGTGTTGTTGTTTTTTTGTCCCCCTCTCTCTCTCTTTCAGCATTCATTTCAATCCTATCTCACAGCAACATAGAGGAGCTCTGCTTTTGATATCCACTGAATAAACACACAATTACCAACCTTCACTTTGGAACAAACATGCCTCAGAAAAACTGTGCTAAAAGTCTCTTTGATCATGAACACTATTTCCAAAAGCAATTATTGAATATACCCATGCATGGATATTTCTCTGTGCCTTTTGCTTTGAATTGAAGCAAGCAGTTTTCTGTAAATAACAGCTTTACTTGAGCATTTATGGTTCCTTTACTTATTACAGTTTAGAAGATAGACTTTTTCACTAAGGACCAAATTCCACAGAACATTTACAAGTTTACTTATTTTTAAGCATACACAAAATTAGTATACTTATTTTTAAGCATACTAAACAATGTCCTGTTTAGTAAAGCCCGTGTGTGTGTGCTAAATGTAAATTGAAAATCAAAGTTGAGGGAAAACTTTGCTGAAATGTTAAAGGAAATTCCACTCAAAACTGCACATGCATAAAACTTTTGCTAAATTAAAAGTAATCTGACTTAAATTATAAAATAGTTGGACATACATTTCAAAAATAGCTTCATGAAAAATTATCTCACAGATCTTGTGCTATTCAGAACCCTTTTCTCCACTCTTCTCAATTAAAAAGGCTGTAGAGAACTGTACAGACTTCAATGTTTGACATAAGGGAACATGTCATTTTTAGTTTCTATGTGATTTTCTATGTGGGACCAACATCTGTATACACCTGTGACATCCTTTTTTTTAAAAAAATTCTGCTGTTGGGGATTATGTGTTTGGATTTTTTCTGGGTGATTTGTTTAGTTTAGCAATTGTTGAAGCAGGGGTTGAAAGATGAAGATATTTTCAATTGCTTTTTGCAAGGCATCCCTTCCTTTTGCAGCTGCCTTCTCATCTCTGAGCTTTAACTCCATGAGTGCTTGCAACTACATTTTGTTCTCATACAAGGAACTCTTATGGGGTAGATGTGAGGAAACCTTTTAAAATTGTTACTTGCAAAGTACAAATGTAGATATTGTTACAAGTAGAGGTTCTTGCATTTTAGAGCTGTTTGCTATCCAAATTTTCCAAGGTACACAGCAAGGATTTCATAGACAGAACATCCTTACTTAACTAATTCGTTTCCTGTGCTCACTTTAGCCTGGTATAGCCTAAAATAAAATCCTTTCCCTACTCAGTGCTGATGAAAATTACTATTTCTTCTTTCTGGGTGGGTTTTTGCTTCATATTCACCCCCTCAGACTTTTGATTCATATGTAATAGAAAGAACATTAGTCTTAATGCCTAAATCTGTGGTGATGTTCATCAGATCAAAGTTCTAAAATAGTCAATGGATGAATATGATTTTGTTCCTAATTAAAGCAATTGTTTTACAGGCTTTTCAATGAAATTCTATGTGTGAGATCTTGTATCAATTTAATTTCATTATGCCAACATGTTTAATATGGTAGAGTAGAAGTTGAGTCAGTATTTCCATTATAATGTCCTCTTTTACAACTGTAAAATTAGTATTGTGCTCTTTAGGGAGTTTTAATCCAGCTGTAAAAAATGACTTAGGGCAGAAACTTGGTGTGTAAGATGTCAACAGCATGTATTTTGAGGGAAAAAGAAAATGCAATTTCAGAATACAATGCATTTGTAGATGGCTTAGAGTTATGAGGGCAGAAGAAAAGTTAACTTCAGACTTTAATTTGCAACCCAATTTCCAAAACTTTTTTTTTTTAAAAAAAAGCCTGCTAGACAACCATCACGGGAAATACTTTTTTTGTGTTACTGATGATTCATATAAGCCAAATTAGAAGGAAGGGGCAGGGATGTGGTAGGAAAGGGGAGATAAATACTTAGATGTATATGAATTCTTCTTCAGTTATACTTTGGACAGCTCAGAAGCACCTATTTCTTTTCACATTTCTAGTTAATGTGTGTATTTCAGCATGATTTTAGTACTGTAACACAAAATAGTTGATAACATTTCTCACTTACAAGGATTTATAATTTTTTTCAAAAACAGAAGCATAAACCATTATTTTCTCTCATAATCTTCTCTGTAAGAAGGCATTGGAGGCTATAAATTTTCCCATAATTATGTTTTCTCTTTTTATTCCATATTTTTGAAAGTGAAATTGTAATTAGACTTTAGGATTTTTTTTTTTGAGCCACCCTCCTATGTAGGTAAGGAGATAACATCATGGTTCCTTCCCTCATCAGGTCCTGAATGTGGTATAATTTTAATAACAATTTCAGGAATACAGGCAAAGGTGCTAGGGTAGTTAACTAACCCTTACAATGCTTCTGTGGGGTATGAAACAGTTTTGGAAGAAGGCCACGTTTTAAAAACTTGTATTAAAAACTAAAATCTAACACATGAATGTTTGAGTATCAGTGGCTGGTGAGAAACTTGCAATGACCATCCCCACCTCTAGCTGTCCTTTTTGTGCTGGGTTTGACTTGCACACAGTGACTTTGCTTGGAGGGTGGGCACGTTCAGGACAGGCTGAGGATGGCCAGTGTGTGACTGTGGTACCAACATCTGTGTCCTGGGCAGTGGAAACCCACAGGGCCAGAAGAAAGTCTGACCAGCCAACAGCTGAGCTGTGCCTCAGCTGCTTGAGGGCTCCATGCGGCTTCCCATGCTCTGGTTTGGTTAGCCTTCCTCGAAGTCACAGATAAAAATATCTCTAATTTACAAATGCAGAAATAGCTGGTGACATAGGTGAATTTAAATTGTTCTCAGATGCCAAATGTATCCTCCTGCTTCAAACAAATACGTTCTTTCCTTGAGCTCATGCAAATAATGACTTATTAAGCCTTGTTATGCTACATCACTGTGGTGGTAATCTTTATTTCAGTGTTCTGAAGGGCAAACTCAACAGATGTTTCCTGCATGTGTGCTTTAAATCATCTGTTCCTGCTCTCAGTGTTTTATATGAATTTGTGATTCATTGGGCTGTTTTCAGGGTCTTTACTACATGGAAAATGTTCAGCCTCTCTTGCTATTTGTACCAATGTTATCTCTAGAGTGCTTCATGCCTGACCTCAGTCTCAGTGCCTGGTTACAGTGTCTGTGCTCTTTCCATGCAGCAATCTCAGCAAAATATTCTCCTGCCCATCAACCAAATCACAGCTCAGAACTGCTGGCAGCTTTTCCCTAAGGAAAGTGTGTGACTGGGCAGGCAACCCCAGTCCCAGTAACTTCATGTGCTGTACAGTTGCCTCAGCCTTGAATACTTAAATTCATGGTTTTACTTTGCAAGATTTTAAAGGTGTATTTTGTTGTGATTCAGTTTCCTGTATATGTTTTTCCATTCAGTATTAGGTGGGGAAGCAATCCTGGAACGAAGAGTTAACCTTCATTAGTGTCGCACAGGCTGACAGTGGGAGGGTCAGGAATGCAGCTAATGCTTCTTTGAAATAAGTAAAAAAGGAAGACAGCAACAAGCCCAAAATGCCTTGTTAATACTTGCTGTAATGCCCTCTTTATTTCTCTTTGCAGGTGACTGTTACAACTATTGGCTATGGAGATAAAGTGCCACAGACCTGGATAGGAAAGACAATTGCATCTTGTTTTTCAGTGTTTGCAATCTCATTTTTTGCACTGCCTGCGGTAGGTTCTCTTGTACTTTTGCAACAGTTTGATGCTGATTCATTAGTTGTCAGAGGAAACTTCTGTTATTGATTCTTTAGCCTTTCATTTAACCTGGTTTTGTGTAAGCTCTGTATTAAGCTTCTATATTGTGGCTGAAATTTATGTAGCTTGTAGAGCAAAAGAGCTTCTAGAAGTAGCTAAATAAATATGCAGTGGTTTTTGTATGCAACACTAGATTTGAGAAGGATTTGAGGAAGAGATGTTTAATTCCATGTAATTTTCCTAGCCTATCTCAGAAGTGTAAAGGAAATTATTTCTAATTACTTCTTTGTGATGACTTAATGATGTTTTGGTTTTTTTAAGGCATTCACTTATAGTTTACTCAACTGAGTAGGTCCAAGGTGAACTGGAGAATTCTCATGTACATCCTTCTTGTAGACAAACTTCCAAAAATATATCACTGTCAGAAAGACAGCAATCAGCAGCCAGAGACACCGATGCAGTTCTTCACAAAATTAATATCTGTCCATGGCAAAAGTCCTGTTTTCAAAAGTGACCTGGAACTGACCTTTTGAAGCTTTGGCACTTTGTTTGCACTGAAAACAGGTTCCTGAGTGCTTTCAAACAAGAAACAAGGCACTTGAGTTCCAAGGGTAAATTCAAAATCAGCAAATCTTGGACTGTGGTTTGAAAATCCAAATATTCAGTGCCAGGTGTAGCTAAGGGTGTGTTTTCCACAAATTTAGCCAGACTCCTGAATTGTGCTGTTAAAATGTTTGTGCCACCTGAAGCATTCTGTTTACATATTTATTTTTTCAATTCAGGGACACAAGCAGTCATGTTAGCAAATGTTTGTGTAGTTCTAATGAAGAAGTGGTGGGGATGGTACAGAATAGATAAGAATACTTTTATGCCAGTACCATCACAAAAGTTCTTCACAGCATCAAAACTCCAGTGACCTTTTAAAATTAGTTGCCTACATTAAAAGTACATAATCTTTTATAGAAGAGGATAATTAAGTTCTTTAAATTCTCCAGCATCAGTTTGCCTTTAAAGCATATGCTTCCCCCCTTCCTCATTCTAATCTCTTCCACTTTTATTTTGGAAGAGAAATCAGATAAGTGAAATGATCAATATGGAAAATGCCAAAACCTACTTTTTTTGACTGAAGAGTGGTGATGGTGGGGTGTTTTGTTTTGGTTGGTTGGTTTTTTAAAATCAGTCTAAAATGCCACAAAAATGTTTTATAGATGATTGTGTAGCAGCTGTGCCTTCACAGCCATGTTTTATGATTACCTGTCAGATTTCCCTAACCTTTGTTGAAGTAGAACACCACCAATCACCCCTTTACTAGGGGGATTTTCCTTACTGAGTGAAGTTGTTACTGTGGGTTGGCCCAAGGGGGAATTCAGGGTTTGAAGCTGTATTTCAGACTTTGCTGTTTTTAAGTAGGAGGATCTGGCTGAGATCACAGTCAAAAGTGATTGTAGTGGCTAAATGCAACTGATGTGGGTTCTGGATCTGGCAATGATCACTCATTTCCCAAATATGTGGTGTTTGAGCATCATCATCTCTTTGATCTTTACTAAATCAACATAATAGGAAGGGCATTTCATGTTCCTTTCAAAATATTTAATGATTAATAGAGTTCTTAGAGGTCGAGCCAAGATCCCTCCCTGCTGTGATGCCTTCAACTGTGTGTAGAAGAAGAATTGTGCTTTCTTGAGTAGGTGTAAACATGTAAGACAATTTATAAAAGATTTCATTTTCACCTGTTACTAAAACTGCTGTTAAATATGTCTATAGCTGTGCAAATGACCACATGAATGGCTTTGCTCTTTACTTAAATTTGTAACTTCATATCTGTTTTACATTTGGAATCTAGTTGAGATTTCACACCATCCAGTGCCATTAGTCCTGAGAGTGAATTAGATGGCTTTTTGTTCAACTCAGTTGACCGCTCTGAAATATGACTTTTTCTTTTCTTCTTCCTCTTTTCCTCACTCCCACCAGGGATTAATATATGGATATAGAAATTACCATACCATAGTTAAAAGGTCTAGTGGCTTACATCATGCCCTGCCAAAGCTTTATTTCTTATCAAAATGTAGTTAAGCCCATCAGGTTGATTTTTTTTTTTTCCCTATTCTGTCATTCCCCTACACAAGACTTTGTGAGACTTTTAGAGGGTATGAAATGTCATTTCTGTTTCCTTTTTTGGGTCCGAGTCCAGCAGGCTTTGCATCAGGGCATGATAGCAGTCACAGTTGGCTTCAGCAAGTAATAACTGAAACTAAAAATTTCACTGTATTAAGTCATTTCCTCAAAATAATTAGTTGGGTTTTATGATGCTGAATAGAAGTTTATTAACACAACATAATTTGGCAATTTTATGTGGGGCTCTTTCCCTCCACTCTTTAAAAAAAGGAAAAAAAAGAAAAAAAAAAGTTTTTTTCTTCTTTCCACAGGGAATTCTTGGTTCAGGCTTTGCCCTAAAGGTACAACAGAAACAAAGACAGAAGCATTTCAACCGTCAGATTCCAGCTGCTGCTTCTCTTATACAGGTACTGAGTTCTTGCATATTACATACTGTAATCTCTTTCCATTTATAGTAGGATTTTGGTTGTGGTTTTTATTTTTTTTCCAAGCTGTTGGCAATTTTTCCCTCCCTGATTCCCATTAAAAACTGTACAGAAATTACAGATGCAAGTTTTGGAAATCCAGTCTTTAATATAAACTAATGAGCAGAAAAGTGCACTCTCAAATCAGTGTAAACTGTTTAATTTAGCTGGTTAAAATCAAAACTGAAAGTTATCCTGCAATTATTAAGCAATTTACCTGAGGAAAGTCTTATGAAATGTTATGCTTAGAGTAATGAAAAAACAAAGAGGAAGTTTTACGTAGAATTGTGCTTTTAAAAAATACATTGTTGCTTGTGAAGACAAATGTCAAATATGCTTCAGTTGGTACGACTAAATTCTCAAAAATTTCAAATTTAGGAGAAATATGTCAGAATCTTAAATAGGAGAATGTTGTTTGGACTTTTCAGCTCTAGAATAGGTGGCTGGAAACTACTGGGATTCTTTAAAATCAGTCTTTTCATGTAGAATAACTGACAGGTAGGAAAATATTGATCCCTCTGTTATAAATACAATTGCAGTTCAGTTTCAGCATGGTAGAAGTGATTTCATCCTTTACTTTGTTGGAGCCAGCATTGCACCCTGGAGAAGTATTAACATGGTTTCATTCTAGGTTTTTCCAGCTTTTCCTCCCTCTACTCAGTACCTGCACATAGCTTTAGAAGCACAGAGATCAAATTTGAAAGGAAACTCGATATACACCATATCATTTTTTCATTCTCATATGACTTATTTCTCTAGCTTCATGAGTGAATGTGGGTTTCCAGGTCAGGATCTTTATGGAAACAGTAGCTAACTGTAAAGTTTATGCTTGAAACTAAACAGTCCCAGAGTTAATGTGAAAAAGGCCCTGGTTATAGCCAGAGATTAGCTAAAAATCTTGAGACTCGTATGGTATGGTTTTGTAAAGAATGGATTTTTTTTAATGTTCCCACTGATTCTTTTGGGAAATGAACACCAAATTATTGGGAAGCCTGAGACTGCATGTCCAGAATGGGTTCCATTAGAAATGTTAAGGAGGAGTAAAGGATAGACAATGAGTTCCAGAGTACCTGTTCTTAATAGTTGTAATCATGATTTACTAATAGTCTCAGACTTCTGAATGCCCAGTTCAGTAAGTGCTCTACAAATGACTTACAAAAAGATTGTTGTTAAATCAAGATGTTTACAAAACAGGTACAAGACAGGAGAACAGCCCAGATGAGTAATTTTCTTTCCTTGTATTCCTTCTTGGTTTCTTCTAGAGGTCATTTGTTTCTTCCACTCTTGTGTTAATCATGGAGGGATTTATATGGTGATATAAGTTTACTTACTCATATCACCATATATCACTTATAAGTTTACTTACTCTTTACTTTCCAACTGCTGTTTCTTTAGCTCTCTCACTCTGCCTTGCTTTGTTTCTTTCATGTAGTGTTTTCTGGCCTTCCCTGCTTTAGATTGTTTGTGTATAAGTGTGTCCTTTCTTCATGTAGTAAGTGAGGATCTGCCTTTTTAATTTGGAGACTCATTATTAATCAATTCTGGTATTTACGCAGTTAAGAGAGAATGCAGTAGTGTTTTCTTGTTGGTCTTGTTTCCTAGCCCTGCTTTTCCTCCCTTTTGCCTTAGAACATGGGACTTTAAGCATTGGTGGTTGGCAAGAGTGAGTTCTGGGTTTGGGTTTTGGCTCTTGGTTAACCACTGGTACTATTCTGTTGTGCCCACAGCTGCATTTCTTCATATGAATATAGTCCTACTGACCACATCACAACTCCTTTTTTTTTTCTGGTCATATTTTTGTGAGGCATGAAAGAGCCATTTTTGTGTTTTTCTGAGTAGGGGCCTGTAACATAGGATACAATAGGCAAAATGCCTAAAGTCAGGTAGGAAATTGGGGCAGAACATAAAATTTAGACCCTTTTTTGAGTCTGGTCTAGAGCTCTCTCTCATTATTTGTTTGTTGCTGCTGAGAATAAAAGTTGCACTTGGAAGGACTCATCTTTCAGTGTGGTTTCCCAGTTCTAACTATGTGGTTTCTATTTACTAAATAAGAGTTCTAAATCATGCTGGGTTTGTTTCCAGAGGGCAAATTCAAGAATATCATTAAATAAAGAATGACTGACATGCTACTTGAAGTTACTGTGTTGTACAGTGAGCCACTGATCTGATTGAATAATTGTTCTTTTGCTTAAAACATTTGTTCCAGACTGCATGGAGATGCTACGCTGCAGAAAACCCAGACTCTTCTACGTGGAAAATTTACATTCGAAAACCTGCCAGGAATTATCATTTGCTCTCACCCAGTCCAAAACCAAAGAAATCGGTGATGGTATCAATAATTAATTGATTCACATTATAGTAATTTGAAGATTTTAAGTCAGATTGAGTTTTTTTACTCTTTAGAGATTATTTGTTCTGCTTGTTTTACAGATTATTACTTGGTTTCAAATTTTGATTTACATTTCAGTTTTGACTGAGTATACAAACATTATAAATTAGAAGCTGATTTGCTGAATTTCCCTAGTCTTGATTTTTTAATGGAAAAGAGTAATAATGACTTAACTCAGGCAAGTCAGCTAGGTACTTAATACTGTTGTTTGAAAAACTATAAGGAAATGTAAAAAATAAAATCACTTTCATCATATTTCCAAAATTGTAACTTTTAATTGATTCAAACAAACAAACAAAACCCCAAAAAAGCTTCTGTTTCTCTCACCTATTGATTTTGTGATTTTCTAAGCTTTTATGGTAAAGACTTCTTGTGCCTTCATAGAGTAATATTGTCCTATTAACAGATTCCATAAGTTCAGAATTATTTTGTTTTAAATACAGCAACAACACCCCTTTGTCAGACTCTTTAGATTATATAGTACACCATCCTCTGCATTGTAAGAGTATTGCATAGCAGTCTCAAGCTAAATGGAGAGGATGTTGTGCAAAAATTTCCTCTTGTATCTCCAAGGTTCATCTGAGTTCAGTAGCAATATATCCATTGGCTTTGTGCTGAAGGTGTGATTTATTGCATCCATAAAATGATAAAGATATTCTAGAATAGTTTGATTTATATAAGCAGCTGCATAACTAGCAGATTTTCTTTTTTAACTGCAGGCAAGGGATTTGGAAATGACAATGTGCAGAAATCTAGTGATTAGCCAGTTTTGGCAGGATGAGGGGGCAACATAATGAGAAACACAGTGTAGGATCGTGAAAATGTAATTCAGGCACTCTTTTAATTGGTTATAGCTCATTGGGGACTGTGTTATTTTTGAAGGCGTCACTGAACAGACAACTCTGTGTGACTTGGTTTGAGTAATTTAATTTATGTGGGGTTTTTTTTAGGTTAAAAAGAAGAAATTTAAGTTAGACAAGGACAATGGGCCTTCTTCTCCAGACAGGATGTTGGCTATACCACACATCACTTATGACCACGTGGCCGAGGACAGGAAAACTGATTTCAGTTTTGAACCCTTTGAACATGCTGGTAAGAAGCTCCATTATAAAATGCCAGTAACTGTGATGAGTTCCATGATTAGATTTGCATACAGGTCCTTTGTAGTATCTGTAGTAAAGAGGGAAAGAACAAGCTCTTGTCACTCTAAAGCAAGAATACTTTGCTTTTTTGCCTTTGGTTGCTGGCTTGTCTGGGTGAGGTTTAACCATTGCTTTAATGAGCACGCTTCACTGCAGACAAAATAATTTCTCATTTCCGCCTGCTGGAAGAGCTGGTTAGGCTCTTCCAGCAGGCAGACTCTTAGGCTGGTGCATACATTCCCCAGTTCTGCAATTGATTGAAATTACAGGGATTAGCTGTCAGCTTTTCCATGTAAAATTTACCCAGGATGTGTTACTATTGTGCTTGTACCTGGACCAAAAAGGATTGGTGTGCCTTGGCTGCACCAAACATAGTCTGCTACATGAAATCATCATGTGCTCATGCCATCTGCTCTGTGCAGTAGGCTGTGAATCAAGTTTTGAAAGCAGAAGTACTTAAGATAAATGTGGATCCATCTGTATTAAATGTCACTGTAAATGTACAAAATGGTACAGTATGAGGAAAAAGAAGACAGGACGTTGATAATCACCTTATGATTAATAGCTTATCTATATTTGCTTTTGCTGCACTGAACTTCCAGAATAACTCTGAATTTAAAATGTGGCATTTTTACAAATGTACTTTTATTGGAAGTTTTTAATGTGTTGCTCAAATGTTGGCAACAAGAGCAAGGTTTAATTTTTAAGGTGTGTTTTATTGATTATAGATACCTTAAGTACTTATGTTTTTTCTCCTCAAAAATTTGGCTGACATGAATAAATGTAATGGGCTTTAAAATAAGACAGCAGCATGGGCTGGCACTGGGCATATTTTAGTTCAAGCAGAAAGTCTTGCCTTCCTTGTGCTATTTTGGTGTGCTTGTGTTGTGTTGTTCTGCATCATCCATGCTTTTCCACTCTTTCTTGGCTTCTGCTAAGGAATGGTTACAAGTTGCATCTGCTGGTAGAAATGACATAGCTGCTAAAAGGTGGACAAGTACTGTGTCTCAAAATTTGAGTACAGACACATTTCTTCAAAACAATCAAATTACAGAACCATGCTTAGAGTTGTAAAGTCCCACCTTTTACCACTGAATTTCTGAGCTGATTAAGGACACTACAATTTGATGGCAGCCTACTATTGCTATTTCAAAAGTCAGCTCTGTAGCTTTCTGTAAAAGGATTTCTCTCATTTCTTCTGACACTTATCTTTTTTCTTTTTTATCTGTGTTCTCCTCTATAAACTGTTACAAGTATACAGGACAAACAGGAATGTTAAAATTGCCTGGTAAGTTGAGGAAAATAATTCTGTTTATGGCATGCCAGCTTATGACATTGTAATGTTTGCAGTGCTTTTCATGTGTGTCTAGTGCCATATAATTTCTAAGAAATCTTTTGCAGCCAAGGAGATCTAGACAGACAGAGAATGTGCATTCTCACACTTGCAATCACAACTGCACCCAGTCTCATTACAAAGAGAGTGTATTACTTATACACTCATTTGTATAAGTACAGAACCTCAAATAATTTTTTATATTTGAGAAAAATTGCTCATGTGTATATTGCCAATAGAAAAATATAATTTTCTATTAAATAAGGTATAATTCATCCAGTAGTTATCTAAGCATATGATGCAAATTAATTTCTAAATAACTGAATTAGGTTCAGATTTGACCCCCCAGTGCTGTGCATTCTGAAGTACATGCATCTGTTCCTGTAAAAATATGCTGTCGATATTTGTGAACAGATGGGGACCCATAAATTAAATAATTTATTTTACTGTTTGTCTGGATTCTGTGATCACTTACGCAGCCATGTAGTCCTGTGATGTTTCTAATGTGCTTGCTTAGGCACTTCCGTAGCAATTGAGTGCTCCCCAAAGACAGCAGGATTAGGGCTAGGTCTGGGCAAAAGACCTCTGTGATTTAGTGAGAGTGCTGTGAGCCACCTGTAAGTTTGCTCTGAATCCACTGCAGGCAGCAGAGGCTTCCTTCCAGTGACTGAGTGCAAGGATGCTCAGGCTCGGATTAAATTGACAGAAATGGCAAAGTTCAGTTTCACCCCTGAGCCCACATGGGACACAAGTGCAATTAAGGTGTTAAAACAGCAAAACCAAACTGAATCTCCTGGACTCCCCCCATCAATCCTTAATTTTCCCAGTTTCCACGAGGTGCATCTCTGGTGGGGATAGACATGGTGGAACAAGATGAGGAGGGCAGCAAAAGCCACCAAACAAATCACCTGTTTTACGTGAACAAGAAATGCCTTCATCTTGGGGAAATATCAGAGCAGCTTTTCCAGCCATCACAGGTTCAGTTTCTGTGTCCCAGCCAGGCAAGCAGAGCTCAGTGGAGCTGAGAGGGTGTCCAACACTGTTCTCACAGCAGCTCAAAGAGGAGAGAGTGTTATTTTACTTTCTGTGGAAAAGATTATCTGCACAGAAAACTGGAGCTGCCAAGTCAAAAGTTTAGAAGGAAGAAACTAGAAAGTACAAGGATAAAGGATACTCATTCTGCTTTAATTAGGCCTTCAGAAAGCCTCTAGTAACATACCCATATGCTGCTTTCTCACATTCAGTAAATTTTTGGGTTGCCCACTTATACTTCAGTCTTCACACTCCTGGATCCCTCATCTGGCTTCCCTGCCAGTATTTTGTGCAACAAGGGATTTCCAGCTTTTTCTCCCTCCTTCTGTTCTCCTGGCATTGTCAGTACAGCAAAACCCAAAGGATCCATGGCCCATCCTGGCTACTGCAAAAATTAACCTTGTCCTGGCTGGAACCAGGACGTGTGTAGAAGTGAGAGAACACTTGCAAAATGAGGGGCTTTTTTTTCTGCTTTTTACTCCAATGCATTTTTTATTTTAAGAGTTTTTCTCATTGCATAAAAGTATCAGCCTGTCCAGGTGTGTGAATTCACAGGCAGTTCTTAATCAAATAGTTATTAACAGCATAATGCTATTCAAAAGAACTAAACACATTGTAAAGATTGTGTGTTTTGCTGAGACTCCTTCTCATCACTGACTCCTCTTGCTTGCCTGAAACATTTCCCCAAGAAATTCACTTGGTTTACTTGGTTGAAGTGGGCAGCTTCAAAAACTTTTTATGGGATGTGCTTGGAAGCTTCAGATGTGGGTGTCCAAACTGCCCCATCCACCTGGCAGCACTGAACCCTGACCAGGAGAGAGCTGCTCTGTGAACAGTGTGAGCCAGAATGAGAGGGGTCTGGCCCGTGGGACACTTAGGAAAGGGAAAGACTTGTGAAACCCTGAAGTCTGGAAGAAAGGGGCAAACAGAGACTGGCCTGTAGGGGGGAATATCTTGCACCAGTTGACACTGCCGTGAAAAATGGGCTTGGAAAAGCCATGACCCCTCCACAGTGGCCAGTGAACATTCTCTCAGCGTGAGTCTGCACTCTTGTACAGTTTCATACACTGTTTTCTATAGTATTTTAAATTTTGTGTCTGGTAGAATATACTAAATTTTTAGGTATGTCTGCATCTCCTTAGCTGTCTGTCTGGATCTTCTTTTTTTTTTCTTTTATTTTTTTTCTTTTCACCTCTCCTATCTCTGTCTCATGTGCATCTTCACTCTGACTCAGATTGTCAGCGCTCCTGGCCATCCTTTTCCACAGACCAGCAGTCTTCCAGCGCTCCTTCCTCTCCAGGTAATGCTCATAATATTTCATTGTTCCATCATGTTTCATCACCTTTGTTAATTACTAAATCTTTGCAGTGCTCTGTCTGGAGCTGTCTTCTGTGGCACAAAAAATTAGAGCTGGTTTCTAAAAAGATGTTTCAGTAGAATTTTGAGTTTGGAGGTTGTTCAGCTTGTAAATTGCAAATGTTCAAATTCACCCATTATAATCCATTGAAAACTAATGTCTAAAGCTTCATCTTTGTTTTCCTCTTTAGCCTTCATATGTAGAAATTGTCTTTTTAAAGCATATTTTTAACACTGCTTTCTAAGAAAGACTTGTCCAAAGTCTAATTGCTATGAATTAATTTTCATAAGTTAAAAAATGTGCTCCCTGGTGTTCTGCTTGAGCCCTGTTTCAAGGCACTTTGAGGCAGAGAAACTCTCATAAGGCCATGTTTTTTTCATAGTTATGATGATTTTGGAAATTTTTAAAACAGAGGGAAGGAGATACCATGTTTGCCTCATACTAATCACCTCCTACTTGCTATGTGCTCACACAAGGATTCTTTCAAATAGGCTGAAGCCCAGTCTTGACTTTGGTGTTGGAATTTGAAATGCAGGGAATTTTCAAAGCTTAGAATTAAACAGAGAATTTGATTTGAGACATTGGAAAAGGCTTCCAAACTTAGGTACTAGAAGCGAGAATGTGAATTAATAGTTTAAAGCAGAAACACATTAAGAAGAAGAAGGTTTAGAGTTTTGGAATTTAGAATATAGAAAAAATAAAAGTAGTTACAAAAAGAAACAAGGAGTTTGGAATGCGGTAATGTAGGTTTATATATCATAACATGATTAACTAAAAAAACTTAGATTAAGTTTTGTAATGCAAGTCCATAAGATGAAATATTTAAGGATTAGGTCAAAAACATAAATATCTTCATTAGCAGTTTTTTATTAGTCAATAAATCCCATAAAAGTCTTATAACTAGGAATCTTGTAAGCTTCTGAACCATACAGTAAAGATGTGAGCCAAACTCACCCTTCCTACCAATGCAGAAAATAAGGAAAATAAACCACACCATCTAAAAACTCAGAAATCCCATCTCTAACTCATTCAAAATTCCTTCAAAAATCTCCATACTTCTGGTTCTTTTTTCATTGTGCCAGTCCTTCTTTCCCTTCCCACAAAACTGGAAAGCAATAGCTGTGACTGACCCAAGAACTGCTGTTCCTGCGGATTCCCCTGGGTGTGGAGTGTGCTGTGTCTCTCTCATGAGCCCAGTCTCGTGAGCAGCAAACCCTTTACATGGCTTTAGGTTCAGCAGTTTTTATCACTTGCCATCAGGAAAACAAAAACATTTGCGAGTCCCTATTTGCTAGAAATTGGCAAAGTTTCATTTATGTCATGTAGAAATGAAAGCAGTTAAAATTAATTTGGTGAAAGCCCGAAGAAAAGTTTGAAAAGTTTGAAACACATTTCACTGCACGTCTCTATCTGGAATTATTTTGCTGGTTTCACAGCCATGTTTTTGAATGATGGTTATAGTAAAGGGATTAAATAGTATAATGCCATAATATTAGTATGATGCTAAAAGCAAAAATAGAAATCAGTGCTTCCTAAAACTTGCTACAAAATCTTAATTTTTAAGTGCTACAAGTAGCTCTTGCTTGTAATAAATGTATCTCCTAGCCATTATCTTATTTTTTTTTTAAACTGTGATTTCAGAGGTCATCCTTTCTTATTACAATTTCTGGAGTACAGAGGCTTTCCTTTTGTAGTTTGGAAAGCCATGTGCTTAAAGATGAATTAATACTTTGTCTTCTGTTTTTTTTAAATTCAAATCCATTTCTCCCATATGAAAAGACCCAATTACCTGAGTAAAATGGTTACATTAAAAGAAAATAATTGTTTCCTGATATTCCCATTTGAATTCTCAGGAAATATCAGCTACAATTAAGTTATCTATTTCTGTTGTATTCCTTTAAGTTTTGTATGGCTTTTTGGCAGAGCATTATTTACTGCTATATTATAAAATATTTTATTGAATATTTCATAAATATAAGTAGAGTTTTCATAAATTACTACATTTTAATTATTTTGTTGCATATTCCAGCCAGTTGGACTGACAAAGGTTTCTATGGACTTGTCACAATTACCTATGATTTATATGGAATGTTAATCAAGTTTTATTTTCTGTAAATTCATTTACAATCATGTAAACCACACCAGTAGTTTTATTTATATGCAAATGTTGTGGCTTCTCTAACAAATGTTAGAGCCATGTTAGAAAAAGCACTTGGTGTTCTTAGTATTAGTATCTGATGGAATTTCAGAGCCTGAGTTTAAAAATGAAAACTGTAACACTCTCCCTGATTTCTTGGATCCGTGAAAATGATGATCTGCAAGTAAATCTGCCAGTAAAACTTTCAATTTTTGAAGTTTTGTGAACCAACCTTCCCAGTAAGAACTTTGTCTGGGATGAGCTGGAGATCTTGCCACCTGTCCTGATTCTGAGCCCAAAGTTGAGTTGGCCTCATGCCATAGTGTGAGAGGGAGCCAGCAAATTGTCTCTTAATAAGGCATGAAGCCCTCTGTCATATAGATACTGAGTATTCTAGTGTATCAGGAGTATGAACTCAAAAAGAGAATAAAATACTAGTTTTAATCTTCACCAGAAGTTCAAATACTTTGGGCAGAGGAAGAGTTAAAATTTTGCCTTTTTGAACTCTGCGGTATGTGCAATTTTGGTAGCAACTTTTGGTTTTAATATTCTTTTAAAATGTACAGTATTTCAGAGGTCCAGGTGAGCTGCAGACAAATGTATTGCTTGAACTGTTATCTGTACGTTTTTCCCACAGTAAAAAAGAGCCCAGCATTTCTAGATGTGAGCACAGGACCCTTCATCAGGACCAGCAGCTTTGCGGATGAGCTTGACCTGGAGGGCGAGACCCTGCTGACCCCAATAACTCACATCTCACAGTAAGTCCAGCCTGCTGAACTGGGCATTGGTTGGCTTAGACAAGAGAAGGCAATTCAGGTGGGAGGGGCTGACAGGGCTCAAATATCTCAGATGTTTGCGTCAAACCCTTTTCACCTTGACGTTGGTGTATCCCGTTCTGAGCGCCAGTAAATCTTCATGCTGACCTAAAGACAAGTTCACTTGGCTGTGACACAAGGCTTTAGTTTTCAGCTAATGCCTCTGGGCAGCTGATGGCTGATAGCCTCAAGATTTTTGTGTGGAGGCAATGTGTGGGAGTACTTGCCTGGTGAAGGTTATCTTACTCCCTCCACCATTTTCCAGTGGAATAGTTTTGAAGTGCAAATTTTAAATACTACTGGTATGAAATACAAGTGTCTCCATTTCAGCAGCACTTTCTCTAATGGTCAAATTATGTTCTACATTTGAAGAAAAGCTCTGTTTGATCATTATTATTGCTTTGTTGTATATAAATAAAAGATCTGAAATAGGCCTGTAGGGGTGTGTGCATGGGAAGAGATGTTAGTATTTTCCCTTCTGGAAGAAGATTTTCCACTTATCCTTTATGCTAAAATGGTGTTTCAGGTTCTCAGATTATTCTTAAAAAAAAAAGTGTGTTGCAGCAGATTTTTCTTTAAATGCCTTTAAATCTTCTGACATTGTGTAATTCAAAATCCTGAAAAATGTTAATTGTTTGCCATGGTAAATGTGTGGCAGTATATCCTCTAGTAGAGGAATGAAACAATGTTTTACACTCTAGAAATGTGAGGATTTCTGCAGTGAAACCACAGATGAAAATTCTTGGCATAGTTGTATTTCTGAGGTAGAAAACATGCAGAAATGCCTGCTGCCTACTTCCAGGCCTTCTTCCTATACGCTATAGTTAGCAGACTACTAAATATTACAAAATTTTTAGAGCCATTTTGGAAGGGCATTTATTAAAGAAAAAGAAAATGTTTGGGTGGAGTCTTCCCTGTCTCCAAGCAAAGGTATTGGCATTTTCATCTGATTCACCCAAGTGTACATCTGTTTGCAGGCAGGGGATATAAGAGACTTGTATTCTGGAAGTTTCTTAGTACAAGCAGGAGGAGGAAGTAATAAATTTCCTCAAGCCTTAGACAAGAACAATGGAGCAACAAAACCACTTTTTTTTCTTTTTTTTTTTTTTTTTAAAATAAATTTGTGTGCTAGGAGTTTGCATCATCCTTTCTGAGTCTGGGAATTATGTAGCTATTTCTTATTGATACATTTCACAAAGCACTCTATCATCTTTAAGTCCAATTTGGGCAGTAGCTGAATAGGTGTGTTTCAGATGAAGAACATCAACAAATGAACACTCTCAACTTTTAGTAACTTACATAGTTCTCTTTTGCTCCCTTAATTTTTGGTTGTAACCTTTGTTGAGATTTCCGTGGATTGCTCTAAGGCACGAATGATGGGACAGTACAAAATCTGTCTCCCACACATTTGAATTGAGCCTCTGCTAGGGTGGAAGAAAATAGGATCCATTGGTTCTTTTAAGACTTTCGATTTCAATTCAAAACTGAATGAATTGGATGAAATGTAAAACTGGACAAAATATTAATATAATCAATAAAAAATTAATTTTAATGTGTCTCTTTGAAACGTGGGTGCCCAAATGTAGATCCTGAGACTTGCTTGCTTGAAGGTGCATGTACTTTGTACACAGTTAATTAAAAGGCCTTAAACAGTGTCAGATCAGCACCAGATATGAGGGTTAGTCAAAAAGTTAGTGAAAATCTGTGGTTTTTAATGCAAACCCAAGTACTCAACAAAATTATGGCACTAGCCACAGTATAGACAGGTCAAATTAAGTGTGAGTGTATCTAGTTTTAGGTCTTAAAAGCAGTACATACTCTATCAGAGAAACAGAAACACAAAGACATTTTCAGAATTGGAAGCATAATGCAAAATACTTGACCTGAGGATGCATGGATTTGGGATTCATGGAAGTATTTCCTGACCAATTGCAACATGTGCGTTAACTTATCCATTAATCCCAGAAAGGTGACTCCAGAATAGATGTTAATTTTTAAAAGTCATGAGTACATGAGTAAATTTTAATAGTTAATTTGAGACATGTAGCTAGAAAGCTTTTAGCCAACAGTATGAAAAATATTTCCTTTTGACAGGTAGCACAGATATGTCAGAACAGTGGGGCACATGCTGTGGTACTGAAAAGGAAACACTTGGCATCCTTGTGGTTTAGAAACCAACGAGGCCAAGTTCCTTTCCTTTGCTAGTCCTGGAAAGTAAATGCCAAATTTCAACCCTTGTGGTAAAGGGCTTAAGGCTTCCCTTTAAATTAAATTTCAGATCCCTGCTTGTTTATGCAAAAATTATCTTTTGGTAAATGTAGATGCATATTCTCACTGAGTTTAATAGTACTGGTTCTGTGTCCAATTATAAGAATGCAGGTGTGGGGGTTTTTTTTGGCAGGACGTATGTGTAACTCTATTTTAAACCTGTATTGAAGTAAATGTTGTATGTAATGTAGCCCTCCTTCTTTGGAATTGCTAATGGGAAATCTTTCATTAAGAAAGACTACTCTATCACCTAACCACTATCAGTATCCTTTTGAGGAAACAAAAATAATCATTGAAGGACACTGAGGCCTGATGTTCAAACAGGACAACCTATAAAATTACCTGTAACAGTTTAAAAAATGCCAGTACACAGTGTGATGTTTCTGACAAAACTTGGCCCTTTAATGCTTGCTGTGGTCTATTGTGTTGTAAAAGTGAAATAGAAAAGGGGACTGCAGCAATACCAGCCCTCTTCTCTGGACTTCTCACTGGTTTATTTCTCCCTGATTGTGTGTTCCCAGATTGTCTCCTGCTCTGTTTCACTGTGTTGACTCTTTGGTTTTACTTGCATTTTAAAGCAGTGGAAAATCAATGCTACTTGTAGCTCAGCCTCCATTACCAAGAGACTCTTGCCCTGTGTTTGTGTCATTGCCTAATTTCAGCATTAGTGTGGATCCAGCTGACTGCATGTATTTCTGGGTGTAAGCATTAGCTAACGTGGCATATTTGTGATCCTGTTATTGGCTGTATCAAAATGACAATAATTCTTGATGTTTTAATGACTCTTCCCCAGATGTTTCAGGTATGTCATAACTAGGGTGATGAAAATGCATTTAATTAGTTAAGCATTGGGCTTGTCTATTTACATATAGAATAATTTTCTTCCTGCAGAGATATACTGATGTGATCTTAGATTTTATACAGTGGGCTTACACTCAAAGGAAAGCTTTACATTAAAACCAAAAAGCACTTCATTTTTATTATTAAGTGTACTTCCATCCTGAAAGCGTTGTGTTGTGACATTTTAAAAATAACCCCCTCCTTGTTAAACAGTGTAATAGATGTAATAATTAAGCAAACAGATTTAGGACTTTTTAATAATTTCCAGACTGAGAGGACATGATAACGGATGGAAGTTTCTGAATTATTGAAATGGATGCTTTTGATCCCTTTGAAATATTTAAGATAAAGTGTGCTGGTAAACACTGAGTGCAGTGTCCATGGTGCTGCAGTTACCACTGGCTTTTGTTGGAAATAATGTTTTCTTTCTCTTTTCTTTTATATTTCTATGAAGTGTTCTGTGTTTTAATTACCAGTATATAGGTTGTTGGCAAGAGATACAACCACATTGCCTAGAACAAACAGTGCTGTATTTGTCTTATAACTGTCTCTTTTCTTTTGGATTATCAGTGAGTGGAATCCCTATTTGCTTTGATTTGCTAGGTCATATTGTAAAAGATTCCTGCTTTTATCTTCTTCTATTCCAAAATGACCTTCTGAAGTCTGAGCAAATATTTCAGTTTCACTCTCAAATGGGCCAGATGGAAGAGCTGACTTCTGCTGTCACAAGAATTCTCTTTGAAATGCTGTTAGCAACATTTAAACCATGACTTCCATGGGATCCATTTTATCATTAATGACAGGGCACATTAGAAGAAGAGCAGTGATAGCAGCTTTGTAAGAACATCCTTGAGTTAAGACCAGAGCTTAATGTTCAGTCATTACTGGTTACTGTCACATGCCATTTTTCCAGTCATTTGCTTGACTTGCTACAGGAAGGGCTTCAGTGCTTGATGGATGCTGGGCAGCATCCTTTTTCATTCAGCATGTTTCAGTGTGTCATCAAGCTCCCTTAGGAATTCTGCTTACAATCTGCTGATTTAATAGTAAAAGGGGAGGACTGTTTCCCTCAGTTTTATTCCCTTTGGTGTGGAATGGCTGTGCTGAGACAAATGTGACATTAGCAGGGGCGGTTCCATCTGGATATATATATATATATATATATTCAGCCATTCTATGCCTCACCTGGCAGCCCTTTGAGCTGGTGCCTGTTCTGTGTTTGTATGATAGGGAATAGGGGGAATCCCAGCAGACAAAACTGTTCCTGTGTTCTGCATCTGATGTCCATGGCAGACTTGGCTAAAGTTGACTGACTGTGTCTTCCGTAAAACAGGCAGTTATTTACAGTATTTATTTTTATATGTGGATTAACCTGAGATGTGCTGAAGACTTGGGCAGTTTTTCATGGTGTCTTATTTCACCCTCGATGCTGCAGCAACTGAGCAGCTTCTGACAGTGCAATCAGTGGTGTGGTGAACATCTGTCCGTGTGGTTACTTACCCCTTTTATCTTCAGTGAGCTTTTCTTGTGTACTGTGGTGGGTGGTTGCTTTTTTCCATAGATTAGACAGAGTGTGCAGTATATGTCTGTAGCTCTGAAGAGCAGAAGGGATAATCAGATTCCCTTTGATCCTGTAAAAGGCTGTAGCACTCCATCAAGCTGCAGCATTAATGTGCTGTGTTTTTAATATGAGCATAATCACAGTAAAAGACTTATATCAAAGAATTAACAAGATTTAAAAAATCAGGCAGGAAAGTAGAGTTTGCAATTTCACATCTCCTCTTTTTATTATGTTAACTTTCTATCTTTTTTTATTGGAGAGGGGAGTGCTGTCA